CCACGCCCTGGCTTTTTGGTTCACGATCATTCTTACGTTCTTAAGAGATATGCGCGGACGGCCTTATCTGAGGCAAAAGAGAGAGGATGAACTTTTAGGTAGTGTAGATGGTAGAGATTATTTCAGTTCTGATTCCTTGAACAAGAGAATAATTTTGCTGGAGTAAAAACGGTTCTAGGCATCACAACGTAATACATATTAGAATTATATACGATGATTCTCCAAACACTGTTGTTACCTATGCAGTTCATGCTATTAAATGGGCAAATGAGCTAGTGGGTAGTATGAAGTCACTGACCGCTAGAACAGGACGTGGTCTTGAAGTTCACTAAGTTACAACACCCTGTTTTTCAGAAGGGGAAATTCAACTCAGAAAGAGGAAGACTCTTCTTTAAATAGAGAAAGAAAGAAAATGAGATAGAAATAAAATAGAAAGGGCGGGGGAACCGAAGATCATCCATATACCTACTACCCAGATACAGTGTTTATCCATATCTATCCATCATCCTTCCAGTTGCTTTTCCTATGCACATATACATGTAAATATCCTTTAATGAATTCATACTAAACATACTATTTGGTATATTTAACAGCTGAACAGGTGAAACCTAAAATATTCAACAAATGAAAGCATTCAAAAGCTATAAAAATTTCCAATTGAAATAAAGTACTGCTTCTCAAATGTAAGTTTCCAAAAGAATCATCAGGGTATTTTTAATAACATACAGATTCCTGCTCTTTATTCCCTCAGAGATTCTGAAATAGTAGGTCCAATTTTGTGTGTGTGTGTGTGTTTTGTTTATATTATTATTATTATTATTATTATTATTATTATTTTTACCAAGAGCTATTTCTCAATCCTGTTGGAATCACTTGTGGGGCTTTAAAACCAGAGGTGCCCTCTTGGTCCCATCCCTTGAGATTCAAATTCAGTTGGTATAGAGTGGGGCCTGGACATTGTATTTTTCTCAAAACTCCCTAAGGCAATATTAATGGGTCAGAGATTATCTCTAAGTGGCTTCAACTTTATAATTCTAGGAATCTATAAGAGTAAATGCTCTTTTATTTAAAATACTAGAGGCCCGGTGCATGAATTAGTGCATGCGGGGTCTGCCTTGGTCTGGCCTGCGGGATGAGGCCGAAGCTCTCAAAACAAAGATCATTTTTATGCTGATGCTCCAGAATTAGATTCATTCCCTTCATCTGTCCCTGGTCGAGCTCCCAGTTGAACTCCCGGTCAAACTCCTGGTCAAGGGGACAGTTTGCATATTAGCCTTTTAGTATATAGGATAAGGAAGCAAAGTGCCTCAATGAGTCAAAGATCTGGTTTAATAAATTATTGCCCTTAACCTCTTGCAGATGTCATCAAATTAAAAAATGGAACACTCGCTCCTGGTTTGGCTCAACGGATAGAGCATCAGCCTGCGAACTCAAGGGTCCCAGGTTTGATTCCGGTCAAGGGCATGTACCTTGGTTGTGGGCACATCCCCAATGGGAGTGTGCAGGAGGCAGCTGATCAATGTTTCTCTCTCATGGATGTTTCTAATGCTCTATCCCTCTCCCTTCCTCTCTGTAAAAAATCAATAAAATATATTTTTTAAAAAAACTAAAAAAAAAAGGAACACAGTAAGATAGAGCAGCCTTTTATACTAAATCCACATTGCAACCTTTTCCCCTGCCAAAACAAATGCTGGTTTCTTGACTGGGACAGGCATGTTCATGAGACAGAACAATGTTTTGGAAGTCATAGGTAAGTGGTGGGTATTTTGTTAAAAAAGAAAAAAGGCTAAAAATACTTAAAGCTTTGTTTATTCTGAGCTTCTATACTTAGAGTTGTTTAATGTTCCCCCCATCTCAAACCTTGTGAAAACTACTTACTTTTTTTAAAATAGGTTTTTATTGATTTCAGCGAGGAGGGGAAACATCAATGATGAGTGAGAATCATTGATCAGCTGCCTCCTACATGCCTCCTACTGGGGATTGAACCCACAACACAGGTATGTGCCCTAACAGGGAATTGAACCATGACCTCCTGGTCATAGGTCGATGCTCAACCAACTAAGTCACAAAGGCTAGAGCTGAAAACTACTTACTTTTGTATGCAATGTCTTTCATTACCCCAGCCCAGTTGAAGGAGCTTTCCCTAGGCTCTTCTGCAGTACAGTCAAGCCTGTGGGACTAGGGTCTATATTTAAGGAGCTCCAGAAGATCCCTTCCAATCTGAGCTTCATATGTGTTGACTAGATTGTTGATAGTGCTGAATCCAGAGTCCTTTCATGTGCACTTCCTCTCCTACCATACCTCACACTTCCCCAGTGGGTGAAATTCCTCAGTAAACACATACATACACACACACATGCCCAGTTAGATTATGAGTCTTTGGAACCCTTTGAGAGCTCATGATTTTTTGGCCAGGGAGTAGGGATCACTAGCAAACACTTCTTAAATGTGAAGACACTGAATGGTGTAAGAAATCATGAACTTATCACATTTGGTAAATGATAGACAATGAAATGTGTAGGTCAGAGGAACAGAAAGAGTCTGTCCACCCAGCATTAGCAGGGCCAAATGCTAAACACTGAAAATTGCAGTGGAGAAATATTAGTTATTTTATTATAAACTAGAGGCCCTGTGAACAAAATTCGTCCAAGAGCAGGCCTTCACAGCCCTGGCTGCCCTCGTAGCCCCAGCCACCCTTACAGACCCAGCTGCCTCGGCCCTCGCAACCCCAGGTTTATCCATCTGGAAGGTCGTGGGGATGGTCATTCCACTGTTCAGCTGTTCAGTCGATTTGCATATTACCCTTTTATTATTATAGATGACAACACCCAGGAGAATGGGAAGCTGATGTTCAATACCCCCAACTGCCTGATGGCATGTAGGTTACAGGTAATAAAGGGCAAAAAGACAAGACACTTGTATGTTAGGGGTTTAGGGTCATACTGGGTGCTGATTGATCAGAGGTGAGGTAAAGGTAATAAACCATTTCTTCTAGTCTTGAGGATAGTTCTGCGGTCTGTTCCTGTGTCCTTCTGTCTGGTTTCTTTGGAAAGTAACCAGGGGATCATTCCACCTGAGGGACTGGAGCCGAAACATAACTTAGGTCAAGATGTTATCATTAGCCTGCCAGAGGTCCAGACCTTGACACCATTAGTCAGGACTGAGTTCTATCTTTTGCTGCCTCATAGGTTACTGATTTTAGGGCAGGGGGGAGGATAGGTCTCTGGGGAGTATGTATACATATACAGAAAGAGACATGATTTGTAGAGCTATGATTTCAAGCTAAATTTAATCAATGTCATAAGGACCCTCAGTTTCATAGGCAATGAAATGTGTGAGTCAGAGGAAGGAAATTAGCAAAGATACATAGATTTATAATTTTAAAATGATAAATATGAATTAACTCAATGAATGAGTGGCCCTAAGGTGTTGCTGTCATCTACTTGCCATCTTATGGCTTTTTTTTTTATCTTCATCCTCTCTCTCTGCCATTTTTCCTTTCTTGACTAATCCTTGTTTAGTTTCTTCTATACTCCTTTTACCTTTCTCCTTCTTTTTATAAAATATGTTTTTATTGATTTCAGAGATGAGAGGAGACAGAGAAAGAGAGATAGAAACATCAATGATGAGGGAGAATCATTGATCGGCTGCCTCCTGCATGCCCCACACTAGAGATCTAGCCCACAACTCGGGCATGTGCGCTGACCGGGAATTGAACTGTGACCTCCTGGTTCATAGGTCAACATTCAACCACTGAGCCATGCCGGCGTGGTTCTCCTTCTGACATGTTCCCCTTTTCTAGATAATGCCTTCAAACTGTAGCAGTCCGGTTATCATTTAACCCCAATGTAGAGGTCAGAAAGAGCTCAAGGGGCTGCCAACCCTTGACCAAGAACTCACTGGGTGCATAGGGACATGTCATTTTGAATTATTAGTTTTCCCGAGGAGGATTCTTCTCAAATCCCCCTTCCCCAATCCCCAACACCACCACCACAGATCTAGTCTAACCTGCTAAAATGAAATGATTCTCAACTTTGAGCATGCATCAAAATTACCAAGGGGCTTTTTAAAATACAGATTACTAGGCCCTGATATGGAGGTTGAGCAAATCTGGGGTGAGGCATGAGAATCTGCATTTCTAGCAATTTCTCAGATGATCCTGATACTGCTGTTCTGGAAACCACACTAAGTAACCAGGCCCCAAACTCATGTTCGTGGTTAGCTGTCCTCTAGGGATGGGATTAAGAGGTGGGAGAGAAGGGACTTTTATTAACTTGTGCTGTATTGAAATTTTTACAGCAATTGGATTCTGTTTGTAATAATGATTTTTAAATTAATGTATACAAATCATTAAAAATTGAAATACTTTTACCTAGCTGGCTTGGCTCAGTGGTTGAACATCGACTTATAAACCAGGAGGCCACAGTTAGATTACTGGTCAGGGCACATGCCCGGGCTGTGGGCTCACGGGAGTCCTCCCACCCTCATACCCCCACCCCCAACCCCGTGCAGGTGGCAGCTGATGTTTCTATCTTTCTGTTCCTCACACTTCCTCTCTGAAATCAATAAAAATGATTTAAAAAGATTGAAATAATTTTAAAAGATATAAAATCTAAAGGAAATACCCTTTCCCCTCCATTGGACCCCAGTCCCACTCCTCAAAGTAATAACTGTTGCCTGGTCTGCATGGCTCAGTGGTTGAGTGTCGACCTAGGAACCAGGAGGTCATGGTTTGATTCCCAGTCAGGGCACATGCCTGGGCTGTAGGGCGTGCAGGGTGCAGCTGATCAATGATTCTCTCTCATCATTGATGTTTCTATCTCTCTCTCCCTCTCCCTTACTCTCTGAAATCAATAAAAATACATATTTTTTTTAAAAAGCAATAACTGGGTG